ATTTCCTGCACACTTTAGTTTTCGGGCCACAACCCTCTTTGCGGCTGGTTGTTTTCCTCTTCCTCTATCGTTAATTAAATGCCCGGGAAGATGGCGTTTAGACCTTTTTGAATGTCTGATATAAAATTATTTTGGTGTTCAACGAGGCTTTCCCCACAGCAAGGCGGGCCAGGGACGGCGACTTTTGTGCAAATCAAATGACAGTGAGTGTAGACTTCGTACCCCAACTGTCGCACTTTTTTCCCTGTCCAATATCATGAGCAAGTCGAGAAGAGCGAAGGCAAGTGAGAAGGCGCAGATGGCTGGCGCGGCCGTTGCCGACCCTGGGAGTGCCACCCTATCTGGCTCGGATCGCAACTGAGTGGAGGGGCACAGCAAGAAGGAGCCAATGTAGTCGGACTCTCAGTCCCCGCATTAAATAAACCTCTTAAATGATATGCGACGGGTATATTTGTGCGTAATGTATACACAGCGTGTTTGCACACATACAACTTCAGTGAATATTACGTACGATCCTTAAAAACATAAAGAGCTTATATTGCATAATCTTGCGGGGAATGTTTATAAGAATGTAGTGACTCTCATAAGCTTTTAACACTCGTAAAAAGAACTGTAGCTTTCCGTTCATGGATTTCCAAATTTTTCAGGAGTTCTGGACTGCAGCTTCCACGATCTCGGAAGGAGCACTTTACCATAAAAACCCAAATGTTCATAAATCTTACGAGGCTTTTTGGCAAATATATGTTTTTGGCAGTCCATCATCGGGCTTGTACAATTGCACTAATAACGAAAAGAGTTGAAAAGGGTTTATAAATGATCGAATTGTCAAAACTCGTCGTTTTTATACCACCCACATGGCGGAATGGGCAAGTAGAGGTCTGAGTGAGGAGAGGAAACAGAGTAGGCTATGAGCATTGGACAGTTTTACTGTTGAAGAATTACTGTAGAGAAGTTGTGTCATCTGCCAGGTAGTTCTGAACGCCAAGTGTGCCTGAGAAGTTGTGTGCGTGGGTGAGTGGAACTTTGGCGATTGCGCATTCGGCTGCCACCAGTTAGATGAGGCGGAAGTATTGATTGACATCAAGCGTACGCGCGCGTTTGACACAGCGAGTCACTCGACGCCATTTGAAAAACCGATGCGAGTTAATTTATCCCGCGGGACGCAAATAATGGCAGCCGAGGACAGGAGGACTCACCCGCAGTTGGGCAATGCGGCAGACTCCTACAGAACTTCTTTACAATAAATATTCACAGTCGCCTACTTTAGATAAATTTTTACACTCCTTGTATGAGTAATGAGTATGATCATACTTCTATTCCAAGTCGAAATTCACTTTTCTTGTAAGTGAAAGCTCCCAAGATTGAAAGTGCCTGGCTGCCTCTGAATATCAACTAGTCAGAGCAAAGCCTCACCAACAGGAGGAAAATGCAAATGGCTGAGCACCGGGGTTGTGCGTCTCCCATTAGTAGCAGAATACAATTTTTTCACAGCAGAGTTT